CCGTGGAGTCTGGGAGCGCATGAGGCGCCCTGACCGCACTTCCCCGTGGTGGAGGCTGTCCAGGCCTGAGCAAGCTATTATAGCACAGTGCAGGACAGGGCACTACCCTGTAGGCTCATACTTCTCACGGCTATGGCTAAATTTCAATTCACGGTGCCCCCACTGCGAGGAAGAAGAGGAAACCGTGCCTCTGTTGGACTGCCCCCCCCCCCCCCCCCCCCCCCACAGACTTGCTGATCTCGCCTCGACAGGTCTGGGAAACCAAAAATTATTCTCGACCTGTATGGTGGCGTGTATGCACTACGCAAGACAGCAAGGTTTCTGTCCAGGGCTTTTGCAAGAGAGTATTTAAGTCTCTCAAGCCCTCACTCAAATGGAGTTTGATGATGAAATAAGTCTTGTACTTTTAACCATTTCACCTTATTGATTGCCTGGAGAAATGTGAAACCTTTGTTTGAAAAGATTGAACATGCACTTATATTTCATATGCAAGCAACTCATTGCAATGGCTGTCATGAGAGACTTGAAATTTATTTTCCACACATGATTAGAAATATTAGTAACAATATCATTGTGGATGTCCTTCTAAGAATATTTTATGCAGCTTTGTGCAAAGTTTCCTGTTTAGAGTTTATGGTTGGGATATTCTTTAAAAGAAACTAACAAAAAAGCTGTTTTTTTTTCAGTCAAAAGTCGAGCTCCATCAGTTGTTAGACTCGTCATCTTGTTACAAGCTTACTTCTGTAGGTGTCCGCGGGCCACATAAAAAGCTCCGGCGGGTCGAATGTGCCCCGCGCGTCGTATTTTGCCCACCCCTGTCCTAGAGGATCAAAAGGTTGACAAAGTTTTGACTAAAACGGCTTCAATTATAAGATAACAAAATAAATGACAAACATTTGCATGAATGAAAACACGCACTGAAAAGTCGAACAAAGTGAACAAATAACTAAATGGAAGAGCGTTGGGTCTCTGGTTAGAACTAGATAGAAAGATAGCACATGTTTTTCAACTTTTTAATGAGTTTGGATTATGATAATGTAATATAAGCCTATGTTTATAGATGGCTGAGTGGTTTCCAAACCTGATGACCTTAACATCATATGGCACATAGATCGCAAGGTCTGAATGGGAAACTTTGCTTTTTTACTGTTTTTTTTTTAAATATAAATTTTTTACTCTTTATTATTTAAAAATAGAATTATACAGTCAATTTGATCTCCGTAGTGGCCCTCTTTCTTTTCGAGTTATCAATTTAAGGATGGATGGAGTTATGAAAATACGCATTCAAGTCATGCACGCACAATTTAAATACAATCTGACTTTATTTATAATTTAAATACAATCTGACTTTCTTTATAATTTAAATACAATCTGACTTTATTTATAATTTAAATACAATCTGACTTTATTTATAATTTAAATACAATCTGACTTTATTTATAATTTAAATACAATCTGACTTTATTTATAATTTAAATACAATCTGACTTTATTTATAATTTAAATACAATCTGACTTTATTTATAATTTAAATACAATCTGACTTTATTTATAATTTAAATACAATCTGACTTTATTTATAATTTAAATACAATCTGACTTTATTTATAATTTAAATACAATCTGACTTTATTTATAATTTAAATACAATCTGACTTTATTTATAATTTAAATACAATCTGACTTTATTTATAATTTAAATACAATCTGACTTTATTTATAATTTAAATACAATCTGACTTTATTTATAATTTAAATACAATCTGACTTTATTTATAATTTAAATACAATCTGACTTTATTTATAATTTAAATTGCAAATTAGTGTTTTTAAAACTGAAAAAAAATATTTTTAAGTTTTTATTTTTTTATTGCATTTTATGTACACAATAATACATGTCTAAAGCATCTCATTGGAATAATAGTGATCCATACAATGTGAACAGTAGAACCTAGTTTTGTTTGAGACCAGTTGGGAGAACGTCCTTTCTAGTATAACCCCTCCCCCCTTTTTTTTGTCTGCTAAATGACCCCCTCCCCTTTCCCGCTGTTTGTGCATGAGATTTTGTAACTCCGTTATCAGGCCAGACAGTGCATTGGTCGTCTATTGGTCATAGGATGTTTACTCTCTGTGTTATCACTTGGAATTCCAGGAACTCATAGGCTTTCAGCAAACACAACTCTGCCCGAGTAGAATTGGAACTCGAGCCCACTAGATAGTCAAGCCACTTAGCCACACATCTGACCTCATATACTTTACAGTGAGAATGATGCATAAAATGTTACGTACAAGTTACTTCTTTCCTAAGTCGCTTAATAATGAACAAAGGAAAACATTTTAAGTAAAAAAACAAAACAACAACAACAACAACTAATACGTTGAAATACAAAAGATATAACTATTCTTTTGTCTGGACCTCGTTAACAAATCGATGGCTATTATAAATTTAATAGGTCAAGTATTCTTTTCTCAGCATATGAGTAGCTATTCCCATTTTAGATAGCTTAGAAGGTCTATAATTAACATAGTCCTATTAAACTGACAATATATATATATTCCAGCCATGGCTAACGAGCCCCTCCTACCCGAAGCTTACTGGTTAAGGCGCCAGTTACTCGCCTTTGCCCCTTCTCCTGTTAGTGAAAACAGTTCCGCCGGACTCAATATCTGAGTCACACGTGAAGGCCAGGAGTTGGACTCTGAATTCAAACCTCTGTTGCCTTGCAGCTATACCCAATCATGGGAAAGGCTTCAGGAGTCAACCCTGAGGAAAAATCAGGAGCTGGCGACCATAAGGCAGTTTGCAGCACCCAATGCTACACTCTGGCAGAACCTGCGATGCCGCTGACCCCAAACTGTATCGGCACTGCCGTTTCTTTGGATACATCAGCTGCGTGGAGAGGGGGGAATTGATGTGTGGGCGACATCGTTCCGACCACAGCTAATGCCCAGGCATTCATCTCACCACGATGATCCATAGTCGCTTCGCGACTGAAGGAGGCCAATATATATATATATATATATATATATATATATATATATATTTACATATATATATAAATCCAAACATTGACATAAATTTAAATATATATTTAGAATTAACTACTCCGAAGTTTTTGTCCTAAATTGGATTTGATGGAACCTTCTTTAGAATACTAACGCCATGTTTTAGTCTATTAGTGAAAAGTGCGCCAATGTTATAAAGTCCATATTCTACCCTATAGCCTAGAGATTTTGCATCCCCTGATGTTTCATTCTAAAGCCATAAAGAAAATGCTAACTGCAATATTAAATGTCTGAACAACAACGTAACCATTTGATAAGCTACCCTACAAGCACGTGTTTTTCTAACAGGCCTATAGTTGTACACAAAGGATGCATGGGAAAGGTAAAAGTAAAATAAACGTACACAATATCTCGAACTCCCTAACAGAAATGAAAGGCTGGGGACAAAGATGGTCTCGTTCAATTCATTCGGGTAAATCCACACAATAAAGACAATATGATCGGCTTTCCACTACAAGTGAGAGCATTAAAACTTGAGTTCCTGTTTTTCATTGACGCAGTTGGAGTTGAATGGGGCAGGAAATAAAGACTCTACAATGCATTGTGGGTAACACTGTTACAAGTACTAAATTATAACATGGTCTCACGCCACGCCGTGTCTCTATAACGGAACTCTGTACCAAAACGGACATTCTTTAAGTACAGCTGTTGCTAGATAAAATGTCTCTCTCCCTCTCTCCCCGTCTTCGTGTGAGTTTATCAGTCAAGGCCGCTCAAGTGACTGCAGCTAGGTCACGTTAATCTAACTGTTCATTCAATGCAACCCAGACGGTGCAAGGGAAGATCACTGTTTCGAGCAAACTGAAGTGGACCGTAAGAGTTTCTTCCCTTTTATAGCAATGGTTTGCTATCCAGTACTTGCTTCGCACGAATGTATATTAAGATATGATCAGTACTGATACTGATGGACTTTTTTGTACAGTCAATTTGACCAAATAATTAAGTTTTAAGAATGTTTGTGTTTCGCTTCAAACAAGATTTAATCAGATCATTTGTTTACTTGTGGGCGTGGTATACAAATACAATCAATCTCAAAATAATGATAGGCTGCGTCGTACTGTAATATGCTCTCTTGTCTGTCCTCTGTGTGGTTCCGGGTTCGAACCCTTTTGTCTGCCACCACCCTCTGTCCTGTGGGAGGTCTAAGCTTTGGTACAATGATCTACAATTCGGAAGGAATATTCGAAGCACGTAAAACAAGTCCAAACATTTGGAGACTCAAGGTGTGAAACACAGTTGTGTCTACCCACACTTTTCTTTAGGGCTATTGGTCTTACATTCCTGGTCAAGATGTGACACAGTTGTCTACACACACTTTTCTTTAGGGCTATTGGTCTTACATTCCTGGTCAAGATGTGACACAGTTGTCTACACACACTTTTCTTTAGGGCTATTGGTCTTACATTCCTGGTCAAGATGTGACACAGTTGTCTACACACACTTTTCTTTAGGGCTATTGGTCTTACATTCCTGGTCAAGATGTGACACAGTTGTCTACACACACTTTTCTTTAGGGCTATTGGTCTTTACATTCCTGGTCAAGATGTGACACAGTTGTCTACACACTTTTCTTTAGGGCTATTGGTCTTTACATTCCTGGTGGCTGACTGTTAAAGCTACCGGGTTCGAATCTAGGTGAAGATTAGGATTTTTAGAACGCCTCAAAGCACACACAACTCTAATGGGCACCTGACTGTAGTTGTGTCAAGTTGGTCGTTGTGCTGGCTACATGAAATCCTCGTTAACCGTCGCCGTAGAAAACAAATGAACTTTATATCATTTGTCATAAAGATGGCCAGATCTAAAGGCGACACATTACTTAAAATACTTACTATTGGCCTTGTATTTAATGTCAAGCTATTTACCGTGTAGTATGTGCATACACGAGCTTTACACTTCAATTTATTTTGACTGAGAACGAACAAAACCTTTGCTTATTTGTTTTTTTTCATTTGTGTTTATTAAAAATGAACACTCAAGTCATTTAATAAAAGAGTTTTGAATCTTGTTTCATAAAAGGTTTATTAAAAACTGTGAAATACCATTCAAGCACTACTTAAAATAACATCATTAGAAAAACTTCTAGTGCTCACAGTTGAGTAGATACAAGAAGTCAGATTTTTTTTTCAAACTTTAGCAAAGTCAAACAATAAATAGTTTAGAATCTTAGTAAAGAAACAAGAAAATAAAAGAAAATACTATTTTACAACAACACGTTTATATTATGTATCATGGTCGTAGCCAGGAATATTTTTCGGGGGGGGGGGGGGGTTTGGGGCACTATTTCTGGTATTGAAAGTCAACAAAATGCATATTCTGAGGTATCTACGATGCATTTTCCTGCTATTAAAAAAGTTTTTTTTTCAAAAACCTAATGTGCTATTCTTATTGACTTAGAACCTCCTGCGCCGTTCGGCGCATTTGCCGTCAAGCTGTTTCCATAAAAATCTGTAACTGGTAATGTCTTAAGCTTCTTCCCACCTACTCTGAGGACCTCCATGAATGTGTGGCGCCAAGTTGTCCTAGAATGCCATCGCAACTTTTCTTATGTGTAATTCATTTTGTCGGAGAACAAGCCCCGCAAAACTCATGCGACGCTCTGTCACAATCTTACTAAGGGGTCGACTCCCACTTCGGCATAGGATTTCCTTGATTTAGACCCGATCACTATAACTGACTCCTATAATCTGTCTTAGCCATCTTTGTTGAGCCACATTTAGTGTTTTTTTTTAATTTCGGCAGATGACTATTCACTGCACTTTATTAATGGGGCCCCGCCACTGGTAGAAATGTGTAACTGTAGTTTGTTTTAGAATAATATTGAAGATACAGGTTTTCCACCTCAAAACACTCTGTAGGGGAATTTAAAACTCAAAACCATCTGGAGGGGTTTCAAACTTTTAAAAAAAGCCATCTGTAGGAGAGGGGTTTAGTGTGTAATTTGGTTTTTTTATATTGAAGAGGGGGTTTATTGTAAATTTTGGAGGGGTTTAAAAATCAAAATCTTCCTTAACTGTGCTCTTGGAATTTGGGGATTGTCGTATGCATTTTTTGTTTGTTTTATTTTATAGAAGAGAGAAATTTAACTGCAAAAACCCCTGGTAGGGGGTTTTAAACTCAAACCCCCCCTGGTAGGGTGTTATAAACTCAAAATCTCCTTGGTTGTGCTGGGGCAAGTGATGGTTTAGTATTAAAATCTCACCTAAAATAAACAAAATCAAAGCAAAAAATCAGTCACTAACTTCCCGGGGGATTCCATTTTGGGTGGGGGGGGGGGTTGAACCCAACCCCCCCCCCCCCCCGGCTACGCCCATGTTATGTATAGTTTTATCAATTAGTTTGGATCAGTCATGTAATTAAACTTGGAATAGATCTAGACTAACAAAAAAAAAAGAATTTCTAAAAATAAAAATAAAAGGTAAATGACCGAATTCGAACTCATGGCTCAAGCCTTCTCAGGCTTCTCAAGCCAACACGCTAAACACTCTGCCTAGTGGAGAGCCTATGAGCATGAATAACGTGCACAAACTTTTTACCAGACAGACAGCCAGACAGAGTGAGTTGATATAAGCTTTGTATTAGAAATTAGTGCATAGTACAATTATAAGAGATGTAGAACAATTAATGTAAACTAAAGCAGTAACTTGTATTGGTGTATATATGTAGTCAAACATTAGTTTGGTTCAACGTAGTAGTCTTCCGTCGTGGTTTTTTCAATTTTAATAATTTTAGGTCTAGGTGTATATTTCGGGGTCACTTTGGTCAAACTTGTAGTTTTGTTGACTGTTGAACCTGTCGATGAGTTTATGTTTTTTAACTAAGTTGTGATAAACATTAAATTCCAAGTAGTGAATAAGTAAAATATAAAAAAAATACTCTATGAAGTATAAAATAAAGTTTATATTGAAGGAAATTACTTTAATTAATTTGAATCAATATTCAATAGTGTATTTAACTTTTAATAATAAATTATACAATTGGAAATATTTATTTTCATGCTGATAGAATGCTCTGTTCGGTATGATCCAATCCTTAACCAAGTACATTTCTTTATTTAAAAAATTAATTAATTACGCTAATTTATTAACTTATTGGTTAACTTTTTAAATTGATTCATGTGTTGTCATCGGCAATAAATAATTGTGCAATGTTTCAATTGAATCCGAGAATAGAAAGGGAAGAAAATACCTGCAAAAAATAATTTCACCCAGATAGACAGCGTGAGTTGATTGATATTAGCTTTGTAAAAACAAGAGTAAGCTTTTCATTTACTCTACGCACACAATGACGGCTTTGATGTACTGAAGACACATTTTCATGTGGATTTCATACGTAATTTAATTTCTCCAATTTGTAAGCTCCCTTTTCAAGGGACGTGAGTAAAGAACAAGTCAAAAAAAAAGTTCCCCTTTAAGACCATGCGGTCTATAGGGCAGATGATATAAGGGTCATCAGTTTCTGTGGCCCATGGTTAACGAGGGTATCATGTGGCCAGCATTACGTTTAACCGCCTTTACATTTCCCCAACGAATGTCAGGTAGAGATGGGTGGGCTCAGAGGTACCCATTAGAGATGGGTGGGCTCAGAGGTACCCATTAGAGATGGGTGGGCTCAAAGGTACCCATTAGAGATGGGTGGGCTCAGGGGCACCCATTAGAGATGGGTGGGCTCAGAGGTACCCATTAGAGATGGGTGGGCTCAAAGGTACCCATTAGAGATGGGTGGGCTCAGGGGCACCCATTAGAGATGGGTGGGCTCAGAGGTACCCATTAGAGATGTGTGGGCTCAGGAACACCCATTAGAGATGGGCGGGCTCAGAGGTACCCATTAGAGATGGGTGGGCTCAGAGGTACCCATTAGAGATGGGTGGGCTCAGGGGCACCTAACAGATATCGAAACTAAAAATCCCAGTCTTTACCAGGATTCGAGCCCAGGACCTTCCGGTTCGGCAGCCAAGCGCTTTACCACTTAGTCACCGCGCCTCCAAAGTATTGATTATGGGAGCATAAGATAAGATAAGAACATAAGATTATTTCAGATACCTTCCCCACCCCAACATGTCCATCAAAGAGATTAGACAAGAGAAAAGTGAACACGCTTATGCAGAAATCTTTTAAAATAGTGACAGGCATTAGAGGCATGTATTACGCTAGTGCGACTGTAATAACCGACTTGACGTAGTATCATTTTAGAGTAAAGTAGAACAACATGTAGAGGACCTTTTGTCGACACATAAAAGTTGTTACACTACAATGTAAGTCAGAAACTAATTCAAGTGAAGTCTTCATACAACAGATATCTTTTTAGTCGATCTTCTTGCAGACAATTCTCACGCAAACGGACCATGCTTACATTCTGGAAGGTCTTACTCAGAAGTTGAAACAACGTCTCTTTAATAAATACGACATGGATTGATTAATTGAATGCCTACAAGCCCCTTTGTAAGCTAGTCGTGTCTCTCTAGGTGTGCACGAGCAAAAGTTATCCTAACTTCTGAATTAATCTGATCCTGTGTTCGCTAGAATATAGACATTTGATCTGGTGAGAATATTCGCTTAGTAAATATATTGGCCATAGATAGATAATGTACAGATACCCAGACCGGATTTAAGGGAGGGTGCAGCACCGCGAAATCCACATGAAAGGGACCTCCACCAAAAAAAAAAAAGATAAAAGTATATCGGAATTTCGACGGGTCAGATACTTTTAAATTATTTTTTTCTACATTTTTTTTTTTTGCATTTGTTTCGCAAAAAATGTCGTGATTAAGAAGTGTACGCTTGTAGCATGCTCAGAATAAGTAAATGCAGCTCCACAAACTAAAAAGAATATATCTTTATATATAATTCTCTTTTTCCCTCAAGAGTTTTGTCGAGTAGTAAGAAGTATTTCTGTCCACGAGAAAACATTAGTATTCACACTACAGATGACTGGCTGCGCGCTTGACTTGACTGTCGTTTAACTTTATCAAACCATGCCCACTCCCATCCCACTTTGTACTGCGGGAGGTTTGGACTAGGAACTAATCTAGCTAATCTACTATACGTAAATAGCAGGGCCGGATTTAACCATTGTGGGGCCCTGTGCGAAACGGATTTCGTTGGGCCAAGTTTGGGTAGGGAAGCTGATAAAAAGTGAAATTTAAGAGTTTGTATTAGAAAATAAATTTGTCTATGCATTTTATTCATTCTTTACTATGTACAGAATTACTTTATGAGCCTTGCGTGTAGCGAAGTCATACAGTATATCATAATAATTCTGTTTACTACACAGATCATGCTCAATAGCAAGAATTACCAAATGTTTCAATCTATCTTTGAGAATTGTTTTCCATATTGAATGGCACCCCAAAATGTCAATTTTTGTGTATATATTTCGTATATTTTAAGGATTTTTTCATATATTTTGCGATTTCGGGAGAATTCCAGGAGCTACTGGTAAATCGACAGGAGGGCGCGGGAAATCTGTTTTAAGTTATAAAATGGATTAATTTAATAATTTATACACCTTGAATTAGAGCGGGTCCTATGAAAGTGCGGATCCTTTGAAAGTGGGGGTCCACTGCGGTCGCATAGGTTGCAATGGCCTAAGACCGGCCATGCAAAATATCGGCTATTTCTACGCCGCCGGTCGACTAGTATTAAATATGTTTAAAAAGAAAAGTAGGATTACATTTACAAGAACTCAGTTTCTTTCTTCTAAAATACAGCATGCTTTTAGATATAAGCATTTTCCTTTCGTAATTGGATCTTTGTTAAAGTTTTCGAAAAATTGCTTGGGACTCCGCAAATATCCTACTCCGGGGTCTTCACATGCTTAAATCCGGCCCTGCAGATACTATTTCTCTATAGAGTATAAAAAAAAACGTACCTCTGCATGTAGTCCTAGTTAATATTCTCTTAATGCATCTTGGCGAATTAAAATTTCTGACTTTAAATTGATGGCTTGATGAAGAGGCCATGGCTTGAAGCATGTTAGGGTTAGCGTTATGACCAAGTCCAACAGCGAATAGGTTCAAACCTTTAATACAAGTAGTTGGTGAACACTATAGTTTTTTACAAACTGTTTTTAAGCATTGTTTTACATATAATCTCAACTCAAAATAGGTGAATGAAATAAAAACTATATGAAATCAAGACAATCTATATCTATATCTATCTATTTATCTATCTACCTATCTATCTATCTATCTATCTATCTATCTATCTATCTATCTATCTATCTATCTATCTCTCTCTCTCTATATATATATATATATATATATATATATATAGTTTTCTTG